AACTCTATGCTTAAATGAGATCATTTTAATCTCATAACCTTACCCTTGGAACCAAACGTCTTCACTTGATTTGCATAAACATGATTCAAGGTTTTGAGCTTAATTGAATGTTAAAGAGTTGATTGATTTGAGCATTTGAGCATTTGTCTAGGTTGAGATTTGAGTTGAAACACGATGAGCATGGCTAAGTTCTTTAAAGTACAGCTGATTATGTTTGCATCCCACAACTAAGCACTTAAGCATTGATTCCATCTCTTTACCTTTTCATATTTGGATTTGAGTGCCCACCTTCAAACCTCACTCTCTCCTTGTCTTAGTTTGTTTGCTTGAGGACAAGCAAAAGGCAAGTGTGGGGGTGTTGATATCACCATTATTTATACCATTTTAGCTTGCATTCATCACTAGTTTTAGTCTCTAAACATGCATATTTTGCTTCTTCTTGTCCCATTTGCATACATTTAGGAGTTATTGTAGTTTTAGATATTGCATTGCATTTTGCATGCATTTGGAGTTTTATTTAGGTACTTGAAGGAGTGTGGAGGTCATGTGGAGCAATGGGTGGAGCTGGGAATGAAGCAAGGCAAGAGACAAAGACGGATGAACCAATATCGATGATGATATCGACATCATGTGATCGATACGGAGCATATCGATGGGAGTATCGACCACCACAACATCAATACAGAAGAGGCAAAGTGTGAAAAAATCATAGCGACTTAGACACCTCGATGCAGCAGAATGGAGTCCATATCGAGCAGTGTATCGACGTCCCAAAACCGATATACATGACAGGACAATACCGAGGTCCCATATCGACTTGCTTGATCGATAAGCCTTAACTAAAGGGCGATTGTTTCGACTTCACACCTTGGAGAGCCAAACCGATACAACTCAGAAGCCTTCTGTATCGACATGCATACCGACCAAGAGGCATCGATACAACCCAGAAGAGGAGAAGATATCGACATGTGTATCGATATTCCATGTCGATATGGTCCATCCGAGTCAGCTTACTTTTGGTTTAATATTGGTTTACTAGGGGTTTTCTTGTTTCCCTATAAATACTAAAGTCCTAAAATGGTTAGGCAAGTTACATCTTGTTATTTTCTTTCTGTTCTTGCACTTAAAACCTTTCATTTTTCAGATTTGCTTTGTAAGAACTTGCTTGATTTAGTGAATTTCTGCATTTTCTTTTGATCTATTCTTGCTTAATATGCTCTCTAATCATGCTTAACGATCTTTTCTCCTTAGAATTTGTGGTTTTTACTATGGCTAGTGAGTAGTCATATCTAGGGTTTGAGATGGGAGAGAGTAGAGGGGTTTTAGGACTAGATTAGTGATGTCTTGTGCTTAATATGATTGTCTTCTCTCTATTAGATGTGCTTAACACTAGATTAGTCTTGGCCAGGCTTGTTTAGTATCTTGGCTTTCTCTAGCGCCTGGTAAGTGTTTGATGAAATGCTGCTTAGAGTCTCTTAGAGGATTGTATGCTTAGCCTAAGGAATTAGATGTCTAAGGTGCATTTTGGCTTTATAGGATTGGAGTTCTGTTCTGAATGCTTGCTGGTCATGTGTTTGAGTAAAAGGATTTATCTTGAATGTGTGCTTAGCAAAGTGATTAGTGTCAAGGAATTGAGCTAGTTATAGTTATTAAAACTATGCCTAGAAGATAGCATTGTTTGAATAGTTTTGAAACATCACTAGTTAGGTTCTAATCTCCTCTTAATCAATAACCTCCATCTTAAATCCTTGCTTTATCTATTTGAACTTCCTGCTTTGCTTAGTTTAGTCTTTAGACTTTTTAGTATTGTTCACAACTGCCATTTTAAATCTTGCTTGACTTAGATAATTTTCTGTTTTCTTGGTGCCTTAACAAACTCAGACGGATTGATACCTTACATGCTGTAATGACATGAGTATGTTGAGATTTGCTTAGTAGTGAAACAACTGCTTATCAGCAAGACTAATCCAATTCCTTGGCAATAATCTCTTTACTAATTAAAAATTCTAATCCACTTTCAATGGTGGAAATATCACTAGCAAGCATTAAGAATCAGCTCTACAAAGCATAATAAGCACCTTACACAACTAATTTCATGCTAAGAATGCAAACCACTTAATTAACTCACTCATGAATATCATCAAACACTTTCAATGCAACAAAAATCATATGATCAATAATACCTTTCCCAATGCCAATCAGCATTAAGGACATTTATTAAGCAAGGATATGGAAGAATCAAGAGCAAGACATCATTAATCAACCATTTAATCACCCTAATTATCTCATCTCAAAATCTAATGAAACTACTCACTAATCATACTAAGAACCATGAGAATATAACTAATCATGATTAGATGAAGGTAAACCATCAAATACAAATGCAAAACTTAATTAAAATGACCCAAGATCAACAAGATTCTTAAAGCGATTATGAAAGAGAGAGTTCTATGTATAGAACTGAATAAAGCTTGGATAACCTAAATTGTTCTTAGGCTTATCTATTTATAGGGAAGGGGGAAAAGTAACAAAGTCAACTGAAAGTCAACTTTTGAACTGGCTTGTACCGAAGAAGGACTGAGTAGTTCTGGTCGGTATGGCTCCTCGGTGCGATCTGAAACGCTTTGCAGGACGTGTTGGTAAAAACCGCCGTATCTCTTTAACCACTGACCAGAATGACCTTATTCTAACTCCATTGGAAAGCTAACTCGTTCATCTTCAACTTCTATAAATAACGCTGAGCTGAATCGCACTGGAAGGGCTCCGTCTGGGTCGATCAATCGCGGTCAGAATTTCTACCATGGAGGGAGAAGGTGCTCTCCTCGGTGTACGGCCTGTCCCTCCACAGTGCAAATCTTCATCGAGCTGGGCACTCAGTGTACGGACTGTCCCTCCACGATTTTGGCGAAAAAACTTGATTTTCCGTTTTTGGCGGAAAAACTGGATTTTCTGGTTTTTACAGGAAACCACGATTTTACGGCTCGGAAAACTTGATTTTCTTGTTTTGGCGGGAAAATCCGATTTTTCTGTTTTGGCGGGAAAAACTTGATTTTACGGTTTTAGCGGAAAACTTGATTTTCCGGTTTTGGCGGGAAAAATTCATTTTGCAGTTTTGGCCAAAAACACGATTTTTTTGTTTTGGCGGGAAAAACTTGATTTTACAGTTTTTACGGGAAAACTCGATTTTTCGGTTTTGGCGAAAAAAAATCATTTTGCAGTTTTGGCCAAAAACATGATTTTTGGGTTTTGACGGAAAAATCTAGTTTTACGGTTTTGTCTGGAAAACTCAACTTTTTATGTTTTATGGGAAAAGTTAATTTTACGTTAACAAAAAGGTGGATTTAAAAAAAAAAATCAAAAAAAGCTTTTGGTTGCCAATCACAAATTTTTATATTTATTTGCGTTTTCGAAAAAAATGAAAAAAGTGGTTGCAATTTTCTAAATGTGTATTATAAGTTAGTGCGCACTTCTTTACTAAAATAACTAATACACAAAAATTCATGATCAAAAACGCTTCAGGTAAAATAGAACAACTAATTTTTTATTATTATTACTAATAAATACTACCATCCAAACTTTATCATTTATTTAATAAAAAATCATTTATTTTATTTTAAAATATTATTATTAAATAGTTAAAGTCTAAAAATCTTTATTATATAATGCACTTATAATTATTACCATTCATGCAGTGGATGGAGAGATGTGATTACTTAACTTTATTAAAATTTCAAATTTTTTAGATGCAGATTTTACATATGTAATGACAGAGACAAGAATAAACAACAGAGACTCGGAACCTGACGCAGATGACACATACACAGCTGGAGTAGCATATAGAGAGCATATAGCACAAATAAAAGATAACATTGCAGATATGTTGTGGCAAAATCAAAGTACTCGATAATTTTTGTAATTTTTTTTAGTATTGTATTTATCTTTTTTAAATCATTGAACACTTTTTGTGTATCAATTTTTATGATATTTAAGATTCATATAAAAAAACTTGTATCACTAAATAAATAGAAATAAATTTATAATGATGATAATATTATTTTTATATTTGTATTTACTTACTTTTTAAATTTTGCACCGCTTGTTAATATTTTCACCAATCAAAACTAATCTTTGATTGGTGAAAATATTACCAAAGGGTGCGGAATTCAAAAAGTAAGTAAATATGAAGATAAAAATAATATTAGTATCATTATAAATTTAATTTTTCTTTTTAGTGATACATTTTTTTATAAATCTTAAATATTGTAATCTATTTGAATTAAAAAAAATAATGTATATTTAGTTAATAATACATAAAAAAGTGTTAAATGATTAAAAAAGACAAATACAATACTAAAAAAAATACAAAAATTATCGAGTAGTTTGATTTTGTCACAATATATCTGCAATATTGTCTCTTATCTGCGCCATATGTTCTCTATCTGCTACCCCAGTTGTGTCTGTGTCACCTGTGTCAGGTTCTAAATCTCTGTTGTTTATTCCTGTCTCTGTCATTACATATGCAAAATCTGCGTCCGAAAAAATTGAAATTTTGATAAAGTTATGTAATCCCATTGTAGCCATTACCACTCTTTTTCTAACGTTTATACCATATCATGGAAATCATAAAGAATCCTCTATTTTTTCTTCAAAAATCCAAAACTCCTCTCGATTACAAAACGCAAAGAAGTATGATATCGATTGAATAGCTTCTGTTTATTCCTTGGTGCAGGACCAGAGTTGAACTGAGACATATGATATCTCACAACTTCATTTCGTGATGATCTTTATGGAGCTAAAAATCCTTGTTTGTTTGGATAACCAGAATCAACGAGATAATATTTTTCTAATGGAGGCAAAGGGAAGTCAGGGTCGCTTTGTTGTGCCATCACCAAAACAGCAGTATCATGGCATGATCCTGGTGCTCCATTCCAAATATATTTGAATAACATATTCATATCACATATTGCTATGATATTTATAGATGCATGATCATGTCAATTTCAATACATTCCTTGTAACTCAGGCTTCACTTTTACACATACATGTGTCCCATTCATAGCTCCAACGAATCCACTAAAAAATAGATAATATGTTCGATCTACGAAAAGTCTTTTAGGAATCCGGTGTAGTTCTTCTCTTGTTGGAGTTCTAATATAATCATGCCAATTGTTCAGTTGCTGTATGAAATTCAAATAAAAAATTTCTGCACAGTCTCTTGATTTCGGAATCTCAAACCAACATCTCTTTGAACTTCATTGTGCCCACATATCCGTAGAAACATAGCAACACCTTCTTCAATGGTTATATTTAATGTTGGTTGTAGTCCATAATTAGTTTGAAGCGTATCACACTATGTTGTGAAACATGGCAATGACATTCGCAGTAACTGAAGACAAGCAGCATCATCTTCTTGCAGTCGATGCCAGATATTTCTCCTTCCCAAACCTCCTTCAGTTTGTACTGGTGCTCTTTCAAAATATCTCCGATAGTAAGTGAGTGTTGGTTAAATTACCAACTCTGCAAATTGCTCATTTTCCAAATTCCACAATTCAATTTCCTCTTCGTAACTTAGGTTCTCCAATCCTTGTGCTATCAACTGACATATACAAAAAGCCTGAAATTGTAAACATAAATGAAAACACATCATTAAGAAAATATAAATATATATTAAACAGTAACAGAAAATACTAAAACTCAACAATCAAAATATTTTTTATTTTTTTATTACAGAAACGAGAATGATAAAACATGACTATCATACACTAATTATCGTCTTCTGAATCACTTTAATGATATTCATTTATATTTATATTTATTTTTCTCGAGCTTCCCCATATGTTGAATAGACCTCCAGGTGTAGGTGTTGGTGATTTACGGGCGGGCTCATAATAATTTATGAAATCAAGACCATGTAATGATGTTCATTGAGCATTTACTGAATTTCCTACAGCTGTAGAATCTGAAATGTGTTGTTGAGAATTTCTCATACTTTGTTCTTGACTTCCAACTGAAAATCCATATTGAACATTGGTCGGAGTTATTCCTGATGGCCCCCCTTGTTGATAATTTTGTATCTGGCTTGGTGAAATCCCCCATTGTGAACAAAGTGGGTTTACAGTTTGCGTATTAGGACACAAAATTTTAGGTTGAACAATGTTCAATGGTTGGACTAAAATAGTAGCAGTGTAGAAATAATATGTAGCAAAGCAAAGAGTCTCATGCATTCATCCACTTTGGGCATGAGACTTTTGTGTCCAGAGTGGGTATTGTTGAGCATTTGGTGGTGTGCCCCATTATTGACAATTTGGTGCCCACAATTCTCCTGTACTCCCCACCGAGGATGGACTGTCGGATGATAGTCCTCCTGAATGTGGACTCCTATATGATGGTCCCGAGCCTAACAGTTTTGGAACATCTTCGTTGTTTCGGGAAACACCAGTCATCACTTCTAGAAGTTGTAGCTTATCCTCGTCACTACTTCCAGCTATATCAATAAAATACTTTCACCAAAATACTAACTCTTTCAGTGTATTAAGGCATACCCAATAAAATTTGCCTTTTGGAATTTCTAAATCAAGGAATATGGCTTCTGCTTTATTCCACTCGTCGTAGTCATTTTGGTCTAAAGCACCTGGGCGAAGTTGTTGTAAACTTCGTCGTTGTAACTCTGTATATCCAGCTATGGTGTTTTGTATGGTTGTTTCAAACGATTGTCTTCTCTGACCTCTTCTTAAACCACCACCAGCAGAAGGTCGTGACGTTTGACCTAATCTTTCTTAAGTACTCCCACGTCTAGCATTTGTCTGCAAATTTAGCCTTGATCGTTGCTGGCTTCTGCGAGCAGGATTTTGGACCGCTTTTGTGACACGAGGTGTATCATCATCAACTCTTACACGATATATGCCTTCCTCTTCTTGCGTCTCAGGAACTTGTGTTTCGGGCATGTCACCACTATCAGTGTCAGAGCCATGAAAGTCGTCCTCATGCTCGTTTATCAACTCTCTTCTTCTTTGCCTCACAGAATTGGACATCATGTAATACAAAACATCGCACCATCACATCCCAAAAATTTGGGGGTTTTCGGTTGAAAGCCTTTGTTATATGCATCCCTAAAAAATTAGAACCATCAAATTATTTGGTACCTAAATTTAAATACATATTTTCATGATTATAAAAATTATGTATACAAATTGTTGAAGGCATTGTTGAATTTCTCAACCATATACTTCTCTTCCAAAAGTATTAGAATTTTTAGTAGTGTAATTATTCATCGCAATTACTTCATCGAATAATTCTATGAAGATTTTTTCCATAATGTAAGACCATTTGTATTTGTATTTGTCTTTGTTTTACAAATTTCAAATTATTATATTAATTATTTTATTAAATTTATATAATGTCTTTTAAAAAAAAAAAATGTTTACCCTTATGGTTGTTTCGCTGGGAGGAGTTGGGGTTTCTACGGGAATCGAACCATTTCGTCTCGAAGAATTTATGCCTCCCCCTCCCCCCTCCACGAATAGACGCCATATCTGATAATAATAAAATTAAACAACAATAGTTTGTTTAAAGCTTATAATAAATCATTTCATTCTTTGCACCACTCAAAGAACTTTTTTTAATACAAAATAAAATAACATATATGTATAAACCTATTACACTAATATAAAAATACTATTTGCTTAGAATTATATATTTATATATATACATATATATTTGTTAACTTATTCTATATAAAATAAATTTCAGTAAATTATTTCTATATTTTTATCAAAGATACTTACACATCTTTATTTATCTGATGTAAGATATATTTTAAAATAATTGTTATTAGTTTCAATCAACTAATTTTCTAAAAATATTGATATAAATACATCATATATGTATATACTACAAAAATTCGTTAGATATATATATATATTAATTATCTACTCTGAATATATTAATAAGATCTTTGTCACTAATATTTCAATTTGTATGGTATAATATCCTAAGTAATAAAATCTTTATCATTATAATTTAAGTTATTTCAGTTTGTAAGACTACTATTATTAAAATAAATTAATCTACCATATAGTCCTATTTGCACTAAGTATATTAATCTATTTATAATTTGATAAAATTTGTATGTAATTATAATAATTAATTTTAAATTTAAGTAAAATCATTATTCTCTAAGAAAACATTAAAACAAATAAATTTATTTTTTGCAATTAAACAATTAGTAAATCGAATATTGAAAGATAAGGTTGTTAAATATTTTATTTAAAGAGGTAATCATAAATACTTAAATTATAAAATTATAATGTAGTGTTAACCTAAATATTTACAAATTATAGTTTTTGCAAAATAATATAAAACTAAATCTAACATAAAATTACAGTTGAATACTGAATATTTCTAATTTCTTAAATATTTTTTAATTATACATTATGCATACTTAAAATAAACTAATTAAACATACCTGAATATTGAACAAAGAAATGTGAAAGATTTAAAGGTGTATTTCTGTTTTCTGTATCTGATATGAATGAATGACTCAAAATATGTTCTTAATATATACTACATGGAATTTTTATTAAAAAAAAAAATTCAACTAGTTGTGTTTTCATACAGGACCACAATATAAATAAGTAATAATGCATTGAAACGCGGCTCTGCCTTTTTATCTTCTTTCAAGAACTGTTTTTGCTTTTTTTTTGAAAAGTGCAAAACGCAAAAATCTTTGATTGGCTGTAACACTACGGATTTCGAAATCCACTTTCAAGTTGTCGTCAATCAAGTAATTTTGCGGTTTTGGTGCGAAAATGCAATTCTGCGGTTTTTATAGAAAATTAAATTTGTGATTTTTATGGAAATTTTGATTTTACCATTTGTATTTAATGATTTTGGCAAAAAATAATAAATATAAGTTTAGTTGCATTCTTTCTATTATATTAGAGGATATTTTGGTCTTTCTGTTTTTGAAATGCAAATGCTGCATCCAGACTCTACTTTTTTTAGCATCTCAAATATTAAGATTTTTTAGAGATTTTTAGGTTTGCATCCAGATATAGTATCTAGATGTTGATTTAAAAGTGTTCAAACGAACAATATTTGAGTATTTGCATCCAGATACAGCATCTGGATACAACAACGAACAGGGCTTTAGTGTTTTTTTTCTTGGCTAAAACTGTATTTATAGCTGATAAAAATGAAATAGACTGGCCTTGGACAAACCAGTTCAGATCTTGCTTAAAACAAGAAATGGTCGATCTGAAGCATATGGACAGCTTGGCGTGTTTCACATACATACATCACAGACACATGTGTTTGTGTTAGAAAAGGTCTCTCTGTAAGCATTTGTGAAGGCTGACTGGTGCTTCAAATAGGCGGATTTATGCGAGAGAAGGCATGCCTAGAGTAAGTGAAGAGACTTGACAGGTTTCACAAACAGGCAGATTTGGAGGAGAAAAAACATGTCTGGAAGCATCTGGATAGGCTGGCAGGTTTGCACTTTAGTCATCTCCTTCCTTTCTAATGAATTTTCTTCTCTTCTACTATCTCATCTCCTCAAGTCTCACATTTATACATAATACTCTAAAAACATATATAATACAATGTGTTGAACCAGAAAATCACCACTAGGGTTTGATTAACAGTTGTGAGTTTCCGGAGAATAAGATCTTTTATTAATAGCAATAAAGCGAAGCGATTACAAAAACTGGTATAACCAAGAGGTTATGCCGAAGTGAAAGAATGTGTTTGCGAAGTAGACTAGAAAGCGTTGGAGTCTTTGGGTTTGGCTCTGCTGCTCTCTATATTGCATGAGTTGTCCTTCTTGGCTTTGAGGTCCTCTTTATTTATAGGGATAGGAGGTCGGTTGCTCCGAACTCCCTTTCATTTTTGCCATTGGTTAATATTTCCATATTTGTGATATGGAAATATCCCTTATTCTCCGAGAAATAGGGAAATTCTCCTTAATCCTTCGAGTTGATCTGATGTTTCCGGTCTTCGATGGTTATCTTCAGAATATTTCCTTTAGTCCGAGCTAGGTCGGCATGGTCGTCATGGTCATGATGGGCTTAGGTTATTGCTAGAGAAATCCTTTTAGGAAATGTGCTTATTTCCCCTCTAACAGTATGCCCCTTCCCCCCCCCAGTCCGGCGAGACTGGTTGTAAATCAGGTCGGCGGACTTCATGAAGTTTTAAATGGGTTTGATCTTGCAATAAGCGTTAGCTTGTCGACAGCGTTGTTTCACTATAGCCAGCTCGGCCCAATTTTAAGTGGATTTGACGCGTGCCGTTCTTCAAAAATTTAATTATTATTAAATACTCTGACCCAATTTTAGGGGTTTGCTTTCAAGCGGGAAATGCGAAAGGTTTGCCAAGCAGCGAGATTGCGCAGATCTTGACATGCGTCCTTTTAGGAAACTGTTGATATTTGTTTTTGATTTTGTTACTTTACTTCTTCGTCTTCTTGCTCCAGATATCTCTTTGCCTTCTTACTCCAGAAAATTTTTAACTTTCTTCTGTTTTGTGGTGATTTTTCTTTCTTTTCCGCCGATCTTCCATTTTTTCCTTTAATCCATTCAAAAATTCTCAAAAAATGTCAGCTTCGTCTTCGAACTCTTTTTTTGACGATGACAAAATTTGCCTCGCCGACCGTGCCAGGCTAACCTGGATTAGTCCACTCACTTCTTCTTCTTCTAACCCCGAGGGGTCCTCGGGTTATCGGGATGAGATTCCGTCGGATCATCCTGACACGGACTCCAAAATGGACTTGGATGGTCCCGGGCCAGCGAGCTTCGAGTCAGAAGGCAGAATCGAAGGTCTTCCGCAGAAGGTCGTAATGTCGAAGCATAGGACCGGCATTAAAGACGGGAGGACCTGGATGACTGCAGAAAGGCTCCAGGAGCTTCGCTCGAAGTGCCGTTTTCCCGAGGGGGTCGAGCTTCTACTTCCCCAGGTCCACGAGAGAGTGACCACGCCCCCAGAAGGCTATTTCTGTTCTTACGAGTGCCACTTCACGGAGTTCGGCCTTCAGTTCCCAATTTCACTGCTTCTCCGTTACTGTGAACGGGGGAAGATGCCGGTGGTGCAGCTTTTTCGTGCTGTAATTCGTCACTTCAACAGCCTGGCAGCGGTAGCTCGCGCGGTAATGGTTCCCTTTAATTGGGATATTTTCGAAAGGATATCCATTCTGAAGAAAGGAAGGATGAACTGTGGCGGGTGGTGCCATTTTTATCCCGCGATGAAAGAGGGAATCATCGGCGGGGACCCGACGAGTAAGGTCCACGAATGGGATCGGTTTTTCTTCTTTGTGAAGATTAACGAAGCATCCATCGGCAGTTCTGACCTCACCTTATTCAAGACTTGGAGATCGACGCCATGTAAGGCGAACCAAATTTTCTTTACCCCCCTTTTTTTGCTACTCCCTAGATGCTAATGTGTATTTGTTTTGGTAGTGGCAACACGTCTTGGAGATGACCCGATCGGGTTTGACGACGATGTTAAGAGGCTGCGCGATCTGAGCCGGCAGCTGTGGGACGAGAAGGAGACAAAAGGGGCTTCTAGAAAGAAAGCAGCCAAACCTGCCGAGAAGAAGGTCAAACCTCCAAGACCAGGTAGACTGCTAGATTGAGCCAGTTTTTTAATTAGTGCTTGGTGACGAGGTCTTATTGACGTGTTTGTTTTTCAGCTCCTCGAAGGGCTTCGCAGCCGAAACCCGTAGGGGCTGGCCGAAAGAAGAGAAAGGTGGCTTCGCCGGGTGCCGCAGATGCTCCTGCGAGTTTTTCTGTAAAGAGGAAGAGGACGACTCCCCAGGATCCACCTAGCTTGGTGGATTCCGATGATGCCGAAGTGGCTGCTGAGAACGAGACTCTTGCAAGGTAAACTCTTTTTCTGGCTTCGAGTGTTATTGTATCGTGCCGAGGTGATCTTTTGATGTTACATTGCTATTGTTTTTTTTTTAAGTTTCTCCAGGGCGGCAGCGCTGGAGAGATTGAGGCAGGCACGGACTGAGAAAACTGCGAGGGGCTCTCAGGGTGAAGCG